TCTTTGCCACAGCTGACACTGCTGGACTCGCCCACGTGAAGTCCGAGCTGCAGAAGAGACACACGTGCACAGACCTGGGTGAACTGCGCAGCTACCTTGGCTTGCAGATCACCCGGGACAGTGCACAGCGCACCATTACCCTGACTCAGTCACACATGGTGCAGCAGGTCCTTCAGCGCTTCGACTTCGCGTACTCCTCGCCTCAGGCCACTCCTCTGTCTACTCGCCACTCGCTCTCAGCTCTGCCTTCGGATGAGTCCGTAGAGCCGAGTGGCCCGTACCCAGAGCTTGTTGGCTGCCTCATGTACCTGATGACCTGCACTCGACCTGACCTTGCATACCCTCTTAGCATCTTGGCACGCTATGTTGCTCCTGGGAGACACCGACCAGAGCACATGGCTGCAGCGAAGAGGGTGGTGCGCTACTTGTGCAGTACGTTGGGCATGGGGCTAGTGCTTGGAGGGCGACGTCGAGTGGTCCTCACCGGTCACGCTGACGCTTCTTGGGCTGACGACCAGGCTATGCAGCGGTCGTCACAGGGTTACACCTTCAGCCTTGGCTCCGGCTCTGTTTCGTGGCGGTCTACCCGCTCTTCTTCTGTTCTCGGCTCCAGCTGTGAGGCTGAGATCTACCCGGGGGCCATGGCTGCACAGGAGCTACGCTGGCTCACCTACCTGCTGACTGACCTAGGAGAGCCGCCTCGTTCTCCTCCAGTTCTGTACGTAGACAACAAGGCCATGCTGGCCTTGTGTCGAGAGCACAGACTGGAGCACAGAACGAAGCACATTGCTCTTCGCTACTTCCTTGCTCGTGAGCTGCAGCAGCGTGGTCAGCTGCGCCTTGCTTACGTGGCCTCTGAGGCCAACACTGCTGATATCTTTACCAAGGCACTTCCGCCTTGTGATCATCAGCGCTTCTGTACGATGCTAGGTCTTGTGCCTACTTGGCCTCACTTGCTGACTTCTTGACCTTGCTTGTACTGTGATCTTTCTATACCTGCACTTGCTTGTTTACCTTTATATATGATCTTGCATGTGAACTGGCCTTTTGGCCTTGCTCTTGTGCTCGGATTGTGTGGTGACTTTGTGATCCACCCTGAGCTTGCCTTGCTTTGCTTGACTGGTCTTGTGACCTCTTGTTCTCCCCCACTTTGCCTATGGGGGTGTGTCAAACTCATATGATATAGCTTGTCTAGGCTATAGTTGGGTAGACACTATGGGGTACAGTTTCCTAGGGTTTCCTACTTGTACCCAACCTTGTGCTAGTTCATTCATTCCTCATTCTTTCACACACCTACGGTCGGGTTACTGGCAGATCACGATGGCGGACATCTCAATCCATAAGAAGGCGTTCCATACCAGATACGGCTCCTACAAATACTTAGTGATGCCGTTCGGACTCTGCAATGCACCAGCAACGTTCCAAGAAGAGATGAACCATATTCTACGGCCCCTGCTGGACGAGTGCGTAGTTGTGTACCTAGACGACATACTCATTTACTCCAGGAACATGAAAGAGCACGTGGAGCATCTGCGGAAGGTGTTCGAGATCTTACGGAATAATAAGTTCTACGTGAAGCTGTCAAAGAGCGACTTTGCACTAAAGAAGGTGCAGTTTCTCGGGCACATGGTGAGCGCCGAAGGCGTACACATGGACGCGCGGAAGATCGAAGCCGTTAAGAAGTGGAAAGTGCCGGAGAACGTGAAGGAGTTGCAGCAGTTTCTAGGCTATGCCAACTACTACAACAGGTTCGTGCCACAGTACGTTAAGATAGCAGCACCACAAAAGGATACGCCCTTCAAATGGGATACTCCTCATCAGCAAGCCATGGAACAGCTCCAGACAGCACTGACCACAGCGCCAGTACTCATCCTACCGGACCCAGACAAAGACTACGTAGTTGAAGCAGATGCTAGTGACCAGGCAGTCGGAGCAGTACTGATGTAGGACGATGGACACGGGTTACAGCTTATCGCTTACCTCAGTAAGAAGCTACACGGAGCAGAACTGAACTAACCCATTCACGACAAGGAAGCCTTAGCCATAGTCGTAGCCTTCAAGACGTGGAGGTGTTACCTAGGGGGAGCCAAGATCACAGTCTATACTGACCACTGCAGCCTCAAACACCTGAAGTCGCAGCCGACGCTTTCACGACAACTGGTGCAGTGGGTAGATTTCTTGGAGACCCACTTCCACTACGACATCGTCTACAAACCCGGGCTACACAACAAAGCTGACGCGTTGAGCCGCCCCGGTCATGTAGCAGGCATCCAGCTCGACGGGATGAACCCTCTGCTCAAGGGTCTATTCCAACATGGGTACTCCGTGGACGCAGAGATAGCAACGGCAGAGAAACAGAAGCTGTTATAGTGGGAGAAAGACTTAGCGGTAAGGAAAGGCTCAGGAAGAATTTGGGTACCGAATTACGCCCCGCTACGGCAGATCCTATTGGAGGAGTTTCACGACATTTCGGGAGCAAAAAAACGTTAGCGGGAATAGCAAAGTATTACTATTGATCCCGGATGGCAGCAAACGTGTAGCAGTTTGTCACGTCATGCGACACATGTCAACGGATGAAGAGTAGTAAGCAGAAAAAAGGAGGGTTACTTCAGCCTCTATCCGTACCGGAGCAGCCATGGCAGATTGTTAGCCTCGACTTCATCACAGGACTTCCTTCGACCTCACGACGGCATGACGCCATCCTCGTCGTGATCGATAAGTTCTCCAAAATGGGTCACTTCATCCCGACCAACGCCACAGCTACAGCTGAAGCAACTGCTCGACTCTTCTTCGACCGCATCATCACCATCCACGGCACCCCCCTACACTCATCTCAGACAGAGACCCCAAATTCACGAGTAAGTTCTGGAAGGAGCTCATGGGACTGTTGGGGACTAAGCTTGCGATGTCTTCAGCATACCATCCTTAGACAGACGGACAGACAGAGTGACTCAATCAAGTGGTTGAACAGTTACTGCGCACAGCTTGCAAGAACGACGTCAGCCACTGGGACACACAGTTACCGACCCTAGAGTTCGCCTACAACAACGCATCACATGCGGCCACAGAGAAAACTGCTTTCTTCCTGTGTTACGGACGGGAACCACTCACCCCACAGCAGCCAACCACACCGGCACACGTCCAAGCCGCACACGACTTCGTCACCACCATGCAATAGCTATGGGAGAAGACTCAGCGGCGTCTTACAACGATGCAGAGCTCCTAGAAGCGGTATGCCGATCGCCAGCGACGTGATCACATGGTAGCAGTCGGATATCAGGTGCTTCTCGACACGCGCAACTTGAACCTGTCTCACCTACCATCCAAGCTCCGGCCTCGCTTCTGTGGTCCTTTTCTCATAGAGACACAGGTGACACCAGTTACATTCCGCTTGCGCTTATCAGATTCATGGAAGCTTCACAACGCTTTCCATGTTCAGCTACTGAAACCCTACAAGGTCCCCAACCAATAGTTCCAGGGATGGCAGCTACCGCCACCACCACCTGTACTCGTACAGGATGAACTAGAGTACGAGATCGAGCATGTTCTCACTCATCTGCGTCGAGGCGGCAAGGCCCTCGAGTTCCTAATACGCTGGAAGGGATACAACCCCACTAAGGACAGTTGGGTTGCAGAAGCTGATATGGGCAACGCACGCCGTGCTCTCAAGGACGATCTTGTCAAGCAGGGTGTATCTCACACCACCCAGCTTTGAGGGGGGGACGTGTGAGAGTACGATGGCTTATGCCAGCTATGCTTGCTTGCCTTTACTTTATTATTCTATTCCTAACATAGGTTTATTTTATGGATGCATGAATTGCTTGATTTCCTAGGCTAGGTGCTTTCCTATATTCTATTATAGTTATAGAACCGAGCTAGGTTGCGTACACCAAATTCTGGGCTTCTCAGTTGCCACCGAATTGCCTTCTACCGAATTCGGGAAGGATGTGTTCGGGACGCTTCGCGACCCTCAGAACCTTCGCGTAACACCTGGGTACTGGGCCTTGTGTCGAGCCTATATATAGCCTCGTGTTGTACCCAGGTGATGATTCAATTCAAACCCACTTTTCTGAGCTCGATCCTAGATCCTCACAGACGAGGTTCCCCCTCCGGGGGCGAACATCGTCAGTGGCATGTGGATTTTCAGGGTGAAGCGGCCGCCGGGTTCTCCGCCTACCTTCAAGGCACGTTACGTTGCTCGAGGCTTCAGTCAACGTGAGGGGGTTGACTTCTTTCAGACCTTCTCCCCCACTCCGAAGATAACCACTCTTCGGGTATTGCTACACGTTGCAGCTCAGCGTGATAACGAGCTTCACTCTCTTACTTCAGCACAGCTTTCTTACAGGGCAGCCTGCACGAGGAGATCTGGCTGCGCCGCCCACCTGGCTTCACTGGGTCGTTTCCTGCAGGTACCCAATGGAGCCTCCAGCGGCCAGTCTGCGGTCTCCTACATGGCATGTTTTTTCTTGCTAGGTTGTGATCAGTGTACTGCCTTGCTATTATAACTCAGCATGTGAACTGACCTTGTGGCTGCTTGCATGTGGTATCCTTGAGATCCACCCTGGGCTTTGCTTTGCTTTGTTCTCTTGCCTGACTGGTCTTGTGACTGTTAGTTGTATTAGCTAACGCCCACTTAGCCTATGGGGGTGTGTCAAACATTATATGTTTATGCTTTGTCGGCTATAGTGGGGCTTGCCTTAGAGGGGATATAGCTCTTGGGTTTTCTACTTGTATTCCACTCAGTTCTAGTTCATTCAATCCTGCAGAGATGATTCTGACACGAAACTCCCCCCAGTCCACCCCGTTTCTCCCCTCCCTGATTCGCCCCTTCCCCCAGCCCACCGTAATCCACCCAAAACCCCCCCCCAGCCCACCCCGTTTCTCCGCTCCCTACTTCTCTCGCCATCCCCAACCCAACAATGAAGCAACAAAAACGAATCTAGGGGCCACCCCGCATATGCGCACATAAGCAAGAATGCTAATGCCGAAACCCACCATACCTACTGCCCAGAATCAACAGCAAGAGCAGCAGCAGTGTTGACTGCGAGCCCCGGTGAGAGGTCAGCACAGCGCATGAGAGGCAGGTGGGGCACCGCAGTCAGGGCACGCTCCAGCAGCAGTGGCTGGCCGTCAGGGCACTGACCCTGGGTGGGGGGGTGGTGGTAGCACGGCTCTGGGGGGCAAGGGGGGCAGGAGGAGGAGGCAAAGCGGGCCGGGGTGTGGGGGGCGAGGGCAGCAATGAGGTAGCCGAAGGTGGAGGTGGGAGAGAGGAGGAGGGAGTGGGAGAAGAGGGCGAGGGAGAAGAGGTCGATGATTGCATCGTCCACGTTGCGCCCGTTGCTGTTGTCCTGCTGCTCCTCCTCCGTCAGCTGCACCACCTCCACCTCCGCCCTTGTACCACCACTGCTGTTGTCCCTGCCGCTGCTCAAAGTGCCACCTTCCGCAGGGCTGGTGCTGCTGCTGCTGCTGTCGGTTGCCATGGGGTCGTACCGTATGGCCCCGCATATGCGGCGCAAATGATAGAACTAAAAATTCACCAATCCATCCATCGCCAATGCCTACAACGCTTCTTTGAGCAGCATAGGAATATGACACACAATGTTCTTGTAGTTGTGTTGTTTGATCACATGTTGCTTCTAGCAGGATGGTCGGAGTAGGATTATGACCTTACTTTATTGAACGAATCACTCTTGTTGGTGAATTTGTTGTACCATAATAATCTCACTTGTCTTACCCCATACTGCAAGGAGTTGTGCACATGAACGCTTGCGTTTTAGTAGGAGGTCATACCGTATGGCCCCGCATATAGGTGTCGTCCTATTATAAGAGGTCATAGGCACCGGCGCTTTTATCTGGAGCACGGCGCTTATGGCCGGAACTCGATTATAAGCGCCCCCCCCTGCAAAACCCTGATATATGACTAAAATATCACATTTAACAACCAGAATCACATGATCCTAGACAGAAAGAGGAAAAAGGGAAAGAGAGACATAAATGAAGGAGAAGGGAGGTGGAGAAGGAAAGGGAGGAGGAAAGTAAAACTGCCAAAAAAACTCAAACGCGACACCTATAAAAAGCCCCATCAAGATACCCAATCAAAACACCCAGTCAAGACATCCCATCAAGACACCCCATCCCGCACCCCATTTCACCCCCCCTCAGTCACATCTGCGCATCCACCATGTACAGGGCCTCCACCCAAAGAGCCCCTCCCTCCACCTCGACGTGGTCCCTTTCCCGGTCCACCAAATCCACATTCATTCCCCCCATGGAAGACGCCGCCCGAAGCAGAATGACACAAGCTTGCGCCCGTTGTAACTCCACCCCGATGAGCGCCTTCAGAGACCCCAAAATATAAGCCGAAAACAAAGTGTCATCCTCCCGACAAGCCCCCAGTGACACAGCTAGCCCCACGTGCGCATCCCCCTGTTGTCGAAGCCACCGCCGGAAACGACCGCCGAGACACCCCCACGTCTCTACTTTTTTTTTTTTTTTTTTGGGACATAATACACTACACAATGCATCACATCCGCAGTCGTAACTGAAGGAGGAGGGAGGCACAGACCAACCTAATAGGGTTTGCAATGTCCTCCCTGTTGATCGCTTACGGTGTTGTTGCAATCCTACGGTTTGCACTTGCCTTGTTGCCCGTGTGCGTGCATGCGTGTGTGCGTGGAATGGTATGAGGGCATGGGATAATATATATTTCATGCTTATAATAATGTGTGAATGATGGGTCATGATGTCGAGTGTGTGTGTGTCAAGTCAATAGCGAATTATCGCTAGTCGCGTGTAACGTGGTCATTTTGTGTGTCCCGCGCGGTTTCTATTTTGTCGTCCGCGGTTTCTATTTTGTCGCTTGTCGAACGTTCGGCGTGTCGCAGGTGTGTGCAGCAGACCCATCAAGAACTCAAGGATGGGTTTGTGATGAAGAACCCGAGCCCTGGTGTCAACATTCAAGTGATCGCGAAGCTCGCCAACAGGGTACACCTCAAGAGATTGAAGATCGTTACATTACTTTGTGTAGTGTAACATTTCACTTGGTGTAGGCCCTAGTGAAGGGTACTTTCGAGACCCTTCGTGGTTGGAGACAGTGTGCCACTGTTCCACTTCACTGTACCTCGGCTCTTGGGGTTTGTAGGAGCTGGGAGTCATTCCCAACTCGTAACTCTTCCTATCTTGTGTTTTAAAACTATAGTGGCTGCCATAGTGCCGTTCGTTCAAACCGACGCTGTGTCGTCAATACTTGGTGAGATCGTGCGACCTAAATTGCCTGGCGACGTTAAGACGCTCCAGATCCAAGTTGAATCAGGTCATTTGAAGCTGTGACCAGAACGCTATGAACGTTTAAAGCCACTGTGCAGAAGTCTGACTGTGCACTCTATCTTTCGTTTTAGGCACATTGAAGCCTACTGTGACTATAACATACGGAGGCTTAAAAAAGGTACTAGGTCTCTCCCATATCGAGCTGAAGGCCTTGTTCCACGTCAGATGCTCGTCTTGTTCACATATACGGCTCAGTGCTGCCACCTCTCCAGCTGTCAAGAGTTGCCCTCCTCTAGCTCCTCTCCCCTTTTGTCCCCCTTTTCTGCCACTTCCTCCACTGTAGATCCGCACATGCCTCTTGAAATTGGCCCCAATCTTCCTGGCCACGCGTCTGGGCTCAAAGGTTTTCTGCCGGAAAACCATGTCACATCTTTCCAACCAAATGTGCCTGAACGTGACTGCGATAAGCGTCGATTCCGGAAAACCGGATGGTGTGCTGTCTTCGGCGAATAACAACTCTCCCAGTGTGCCCACCGCTCTTGCTGGGTGCGAGTCTTGAAGCGCGCCACAGATTCCCTTAACCACTGGGCAGCTCATCAAACAGTGAGTTGGCGACTCTTCCTGCTTGGAGTAGGGGCAGCATGCACAAGAACCGAAGAAAGCCAACCTGATGCCCACTTGCAGGTTGTGACTGTGTAACCTCAGCAGTACCTCTCTTGCTTTGGCTGGAATTGCCAACGAGTCTCTCTTCGCGATGGCTTTACCCCAGTCAATCTTCCCTCCCCAGTTCTCCTCCCACTTCTTCTGCTGCTTAGGCTGTTATGCCGGTTTCCTGAGCAGATGTCTCAGCTTCCTTTGCGCCGTAGGTTTTCCCTCCTCACACAAAAACGTGGCCCTTAATCTTGTACGTGGATCACCCGCCTGACCCAACAAACAGCCTCCTTTGGCCACCATTGGAGTTAATATACTTAGCATCGCCGGCGGTTGCGTCTCAATTCCCAGCTGCTTAATTTTCCCTTTGTTGTCCACCTCCACTCTTTCGCACTTCAGCTCCTTGTTTTCTGCTAGCGCCACCTACAGATAACTCTGCCTCCCCCCTACCGTTTTTCCAACTTTGACCAGGGTCGTAGCTTCAGCAATTTCCACCGCCGTCACCTTCGCGAGTAATTTCTTTTACTATGAAAGGGGTGAACTGCATGCCCCGGTTGCGTGCAAGCAGAGGCGCGTAATCAGTCATTTTGCGACGCTCCCTCTCCTTTGCCACCACACCTATAGAACGCCCGCACTGCCCTAGCAGAGATGGAGACAGCGATAGCGGGTCCGCGACGCTGATCTCTAAAGCGTGAGGCTCTCCGGCCATTGGTCGTCGCACCGCTACGTCAACCCGCTTCCCCAGCAGCACCACACTATCCTCCATCATCACCACCCCCCCTGACGCCTTAGAGATCCTCGCCACCGCAAACTTCACCTCATCATGCACCAAAAATGGACCGTGCTGGTGCTTGCATCTCAGGGCATGATGCGGGTCTGCTGGGTCAACATACGCTGTGCCACAAACACACCTCCTTGCCACCTGCAGCTGCTGAATTGGGAGCCCGAGCCGTATAGTAGCAGCAATGCCCCACTCAGCTGCAGTGAATGTGAGATCTGAGTGAGCCGGGACCGCCAAAACCCATGCACCAGCCCCCGAGCCCTGAAGGGATGTGAAACGGGCCAGGGTGGCATCGTCACGAGCCGAGCGGCGCAGTGCCTGGAGCTCCTCTACAGCCAACTGCCGTTGCCGCACCTGAAAAACCCGAAGAGGAGGGGCCGCTACACACAGAGGTAAGCCCGACATCTCCTGGCGTATAGTCGCAGGCAGCTGCTCAATAGCCTTGGCAAACCAAGGATCAAGAAACGCTGCCCGTGCCGAAGTGATGAGGTGCTCTGCAAACATCGCCTCCTCGCCCGCCACCCCCAACTGTGCAATATCATGCGCGGCCTGCGCCCACCCACAAACATAGGACAGCGGACTCAAAGAGGCCGCCGCCCGGATCCCAAACCCTCCGATATGCAGCTGCATGCGAGCGCGCCTAGACCGGTCGGGGTCCTGCTCCCAAGTGCCAGGTGGGAAAAGCTGCTCAAAGCAACCCTCCAGACAGCTATCCCAATTCTTAAAGGCCTCCACCACCTCCGGACGAGGCAGCATAGTCCAAGCCAGGTACATCGGCCATGCTGAAACTGCAATAGCGAGGAGATGTGAAGCCATCTGGGAAGCAGAGGGGGGCATGGCAATGGCGTCTGCAACTGTCAAAGCCGCTCCCGTAACCAGACCACCTCCCAATCCTCCTCCCTAATAGGCACGCCCACCACAGTGAGATCCTCCTCCACCCGCTACATCCCCAATGGCAGTGCCCGCTCCCCATCCCCGCCTTCGCGCTCCCAAAACCGGCACTTGTGTGCCTGCACCTCCAGCCCCACCCACTCCAACCACTCCTGCAGCACCCCAAAAGCCTCTAGAATCCTAGCCGCTGGTCCCATGATAAAGGTATCGTCTACATAACTCAAGTAGGTCCCTGAACTCTCTAGTCACCGACTCCATCACATGCAGCTGCGTGAACGCGAAAAGAAAAGGGTCGAGCGGGCCCTCCTGCCGCGATCCTCATGCCGACTCAAGGCTCTGTACGAAAGGGCCCGCTCGGAGGTACTTTTTGCTAGGTGGCCCGTAGAAAACACGCAAGAATGCAATCAACTTGGAGAAAGGCGACTCCCGCGGCCCCTCAAACATCGCATGACGGTGAAACGAATTGAAGGCGTACGCGACGTTTATCTGCAGCGCACACCAGTCGGGGTGAGTCGCCAGCGCTGACCAAAAAGAATTAGTAAGAATCTCCACCCCGGCCCTGGTGCCCGCTCCCAGCTGGTTGCACGGCAGAAAGTAGGAAGCCATCGCAGGGCGGAGCGAGATGTAGAGAGCTCGAGCAAGGATACGCGGAAGCACCTCCCCAATCGCCACCGGCTGGACGTCGCCGTTAGGCTTGGAAAGCCCAACTAGGTTGGATGCGGTGAGCTAGGGGCGAGCCCGCTCGAGGACCTGTTCCGCCACCCAATGGTTGAACACTTGCAACAGGTGGGAAAGGCAGGAAGGTTCAGTGAGGAAGGTCTCGCGCAGATGCTCTGTGACCCACCCCGATTGTGAGGATCTGGGATCGAGCTTAGAAAAGAGAGTTTGAATTGGGCTTAGAAAAGAGGTACAACAC